CCCTTCGGGGATGACCAACATGCTACTTCTGTCCCTTTCGGTATTTCATTTTGGAAAATATAATTACTAAATAATTAATCCCAGCTCGAAGAAAATAACTTCCATAGGCACAAAGGTGACCTTGTCTTTAATATGCACCTTTCAGTTCACACAGTAGGATCAAATTTCATGCCTGGCGAAAGCAATAGAGAAGTGGGACAAATTCGGACGTGGGGTAGAGCAGCCGCAGTTCCTTTATCTATCTAGAGGAGTCCCCTAGACACTAAAGCAACACTGACTTTGCTCCCGCCCACAGCTCTTTTGAAAGTCCATCAAAGGCCCATTTTTGGCCCCTTAATTTCAAATAGGGAAGAGCCTTACCGGGACCTTTCACAAGGTAGTGTCTAAAGCACCAGCTGGTTACTTAGCTGTTGACATTTCACGTTTTACCTTTGAAACCAGAAGGCCTTGTTACCCTGATTCGCCTTCCCGGGGTTCATGTTTTTGATTGCCTTCAAGTTCTTGAGATGACCGAGATGTCATCCCCAAATAAAACAAATGAACCCGTTTGCTGTGAGGAGCTCTCACAGGCGTCCGGCAGCCGCGGCCCAGGTTCAGTTCTGCTGCCCAAGCAGCTTGTTTGCCAGGAAGCTTTCCAGCTGCAATTTTTTTTTTAATTTCAGCTCTTATAAATGCCGGTTTTTTCCCGCGGCCCGAGCACGCGTTGGCGAGACGCTGCTCGAAGCGCCCGTGGCTGCCTGCGCCCTGCCAGCGCCGGCTCCTTCTCCCGCCCCAGCAGCCCAGCCGGGCTGAAACTTAAAAGAAAACGTCCAGTATAGACCCAGCGTTAGCCTTAAGTGGATTATGCCGAGAAAAAATCTCCTCTGCGTGGAGTTTGTCAGAGTTTCAAATGTGCGAATGTCCTCAAATAACCTACATAGCCCGGAGAAATAAGCCAACTGTCACACCCAGTTCTGGATTCCACATTAACAACCTCCTTCCGCAGCGTTAAACTTTGCCCTTGAGGACTTTTGTTTAACTTTTTAATTTGAAAAACAGATACGGCTGCTTTACAACCTTCACTTTTTTTGTGCTCCCTGAAAGGTCTCATTGTTACTGCGGGAGATGTGCAGGTAGAAGCAAATTTGACAGTTTTTCATTTGATTGCCTTTTTGTTTTAAAGCACACGAACGGTGTCCGTGATTAGGCTTGGGAGCCGGGGATAAAGCCCATCACACAGGAAGGCTGTTTTAAGAAGATTTTAATAAACAATGGGCCTGATTCTCCATTCCCGAGGCAGGCAGAAACTGCTACCGAAGTCAATGAGGCACTTTCAGCTCTTCTCCTTTTAAATATCCTGAATCGCAGAGGGTTTCCTAGCCCTTCTTCCAATACAAAGGAGCCGATTGTCAGAAGTTGCTTAAGGATTTTTGTGCCTCTGTGCTATCTTCAGAATAGCATAAGAAACAAATAGACTTGCACTATCAAAGAAACATAATTGCCATTTCAGACTTCCTGTTTAGGATTCAGTCAAGTAGATATTGTTTATGGTTCATAAAACCTTACTACTGTGAGGATTCTCAGATACTGGCAGGGTAGAGTTTCAACTTTCATGGTGCTGTAAATTAGGAGGAAAAAAAAAAAAGTGTGATAATACTCCTCCGAGAACAGTAAAAAAGAGCTCTGCAATGGTTAAATGGAATTTTATAAGCACATTCGGTGTGGAACTGTTTTGCATTACATGAGTTGAATACCTTAGAGATGACACACATCTGCAGGCACTTTATTAAATCCTTAGTCAGCACTTTTCAACCTGATGAGATTACTTCTTCATTTGACTGGAGAAAGGAGAGCTAAGATCTCGTACCGGACTGCAGAATCCTTTTTGATGTTTCACCTTGAACGCTAGCAAAGGACGGCAAGAGGCTCTGCAGGACAATACGGACCTCTAGTAGCGCCGGCAAGCGGGTAGCAGTAATTTTACTTCATAGGACCTTTAGCTCCAGCGGATTCGTTTAGCTCTAAACTCGCTAGTCGAATCGTACCGCACAAGTAAATGCAGAGGAAATCGAACACTGGCTCTCTTATAAAAACGCAAGGAGATAATATCGTCCTGACTGTATTGTGTTAGCGCACATGATTTTAAATGGAGATTTAAATTAAGAAACGGAATACGCTCTTGTCCATCTGGGTGCAGTCGGATAGATTTCAGGACGTGAAGGGATAAAGCGTGGAAGTTGGCTAGAAGCGATAGGATAGCTTGCATCGTGTTGAGTGGTGGTGTGAAAACTCTGCAAGTACGGATCTGGGCTTCTTTTTGGCCCTAAGCCACCTAATCATGCAAAAAACTCGACAAATCACAGCTATCAAATGCATGTATGCTTCGTAGGCGCTTTTGTTTCGTGCGCCGAGGTCTCCTGTCCCGTTGCAGGGACGTTTCCCAGGTGCCGCGACGGGACAATAGGACTCTTCAGCCATAATCCGGCAAGACTTAGACGTGTATAGGAGGCTTGAGGGGGATATGAGATCTTAATATTAAAATGATTAGTAGAAAAGGAGGATCACTCTGTGTGTGCAGTTCAGCTGTAAGACGCTCTAAATTAAACCGGCATCCCGAGAGCAGTGTTGGTGGGATCCGATGAGTAAATGCGCTCTCTGTCTTGCTGTTCTGCTGCCTCAGCCCATAAAACATTTCATCAAAGCGGAGTTGCACGAACGGCCAAAGCGCGATGCAGCTGTTTGCGAGGTGCTTGGATTCGGTATCCTCTAAAAGCAGCTTTTCAGCGAAGGCAGCGCGGAGCCCCTGCACGGAAGTTTAAAAAACATCCGTGCAGCCCGGTTTGATCGCGTAAGGGTTAATTAAGTTTTTCCTTGGTATTAAGCCTGAACAGTGTCTGCAGGAGTCATATTGACACCCTAGTGCATGGTAACTCTACTCCTTTATTGACATGTTGCTAGTCAAGAGCACAATAGCACTCTGTGTCTGCAAATCATTGCTAAAATCATCTCGAGGAAAAAAAAAAAGTTTGAAAGCCGAACGCTAGACAAAGGCCCCAGAGCTGCACTGCGCAGCGAAAAACTCCGGAGTCAGCAACTTCTATTGATTAAAAACTAACCTTTAAAGTAACTCTCAGAGTGTGTGGTTAGCATTTAAATTTAAACATGTCATGAGTTGATTTGTGTTACTGAATACCAACTCAGAAGGAGTTACATTCACATCAGATTTTTTTTTTCTAATTCCCTTAAGCAGCTAAAGTATTTCATGAAATGTCAATAGGGCAGCGGAGAAAAAAAAAGGTGTTTTGGAGGGAGGGGACTCGCGCCGGGCCGCGCCGCTTCTTTTCCCATGCAAATAGTCCCCCCGAAAAGAAAAGTGTGGGGAGCGCAACACAATAATTAGCCCTTTGTCTAACTTTCCCAAGTGCCAGAGAAAGACAGATTAATTAAATATACAACAGTGTTGGTTTTTGGAGTGGGGGTCTCTCTTGCCGGGTAGGTCATAAATTAGGCAGAATAAATACTTCAATGTGTTTGCAGCGGGGCTGCTACGTCAGAGCGGCTGGCGGGCGGGGGGGGGGGGGGGCGGGGTTCTTGCTAATGATAGTCACGTCTGGGGCTGTCTGGTTGCTCGTAGCAACGAGACATGATGTAACACCAGGATGAACTTGAACTTGGGGGACTTGAAAAGGGAACAATAGACCAGAGCAATCAATAAAGCCTATTTCAGTGAAGGATTACAGAGCCGCGCTGGGGTAACCTTGTCTGCAAGGCGCGGGCTGAATAGCAAGACGCGTGAAGGAGCGCGGTGCCGCGGGGGGACGGACGGACGGACGGCGGGATGGACGGGACGGGAC